TTTGCGCAGACTGTCGAGGACGAGGCCTGGAAGGACCAAAAGATCCAACAGCAGATCCAGGTGCGTTTGCCCGGGTGGAGACGTTGTCCAGTGTTGATTTTCGTAGGCTGAGGTCTCCCGCCTGGCATCGGCGCCAGAACAGCCCGCGCCCGCTGTCGCGCCTGTGAACCCCGCGACAAAAGGACGACGCGTCTCGAACGACTTCTCTCGCCGATACACTATTTTGGAACAAGACTCTGAATCAAAGACTATGCGTGCACCTACGAGCCCGTAAGCCTCTCATATCGTGTTAACCCCCCACGTTTATGTGTGGTTTCCAAAGACCCAAAGTCGTGTCTGCTAAAGATAAAGCTCAATCGACTGCAAAGTTTGCCGTGTTCGATGCCGTACCTGAAAGAGAGGAAAGCGCTGCGATGGATGCTGAGATGGAGAACATCTTGCCTTTGTTGAAGGCGTATTTGAGTGGTGGGTTCTTCGTCCTCCTTCTTGAGCATTCACCTCATCAGATGTGCAGTCAGCGAACCGACATTGGACCCTGCTATTGAAAAGGATGACGACTATGTTTGGGATGTCTTTTACCATCGGCCTTCGACGTTGAGCGAGTGGAATTCTGCGGCGACCGTCGGGACATTGTAAAGCGCTTTACAGTCGTAACACTCTCCGTCTCATGTCTTTCTCTCCAGAACTGGGCTACCTCCCTCTTTGACTGACCCATACGACTCGGATTCTGAATCCGAAGTTGAGGATGAGGCTGACGAGGACTCCAATGGTACCGCGCTTGTTTCATGTTGTACGTTAAGATGGATTCATGCTTTATAGCCGAGGAGTACTACGCCAATGACTATCCTGAAGACGAGGATTCATCCGACTGGGGCAGCAGTGGTATGTCCTTTCATAAACTGTTGCATTCGTGTCTCAAGGTGTTTCGTAGATGAATTCCACGAGAACTCTGAGGACAATTATAATTCTGACTAAAAACTTTATGCACTGATCCTAGATACCTTTTTCACAGCATTCAACCAACACATTGATAGATCCTACACCCCAAATTCATTCGACTCATGTTAACCATTTGTAGCAATATCCCTGTACTACTTGACGCTCTCGCTTTATGCCTTCTGTTTACCGATACCAAGGAACTTCGTAGTGCTGAAATAAAAGAGATTTTGCACTTCAATGCAATACGCCACATCGGCCTCACGACTGTTCCTCGTCCCTGTTGTGTAGTATGGTGCTGAGCCTCCGAGGATGAAAGGATGCTCATTCAGTCAAGACCTATCTACTGTCGAAATCTTCAAATTTCTTGCGAAGATTCGGATTCGCCACTTTTTCTCTCCAATGATATAGCAATCTGGAGAGTCGAGGACTGACTCGTAAATGATACATTCATTTCAGCGTTTCACACATCAAAATACCAAATACACGTATTTTCCTCAAACCACTTTCTCTGATTCACGCCTTCTCTTCAGCGAATTTCTTGGACCGGGAGCGGCCCTTTCCTACGGTGAGGACGCCCAGGAAAACGAGGACACCGAGCATGACGAGGGCAACGAAGAGAGTAAGACCTGCGCCCAAGAATCCAGCTCCTACCGGACCGATAACTTGGTGAACCCGAGCGGCAGCGCTTGCCTGGCTGAGCGCGGCGCATCCTCTGTCCTGCGTGTTGCTGCAGACCGTGCACCATTCAGCCGTGGTGTTGATCGCAGCGGGCTTTTTCGAAAGAAACCGTTTCAGACAACCTACCCCCCACAGAAATGACATACCTGCAACAAGTTTACAAACGTCGACAGCGGCACATCGCCCTCGTGGTCCAGAATGCTGTACGTCCTGAAAGCGTCGTCGTCCGTCCCGTTCTTGAAGTTGAACCGCAGGACGGGCTCGCCGCCGGCGGAGGCCGCGCGGACCTCGAGCGTCACGGCCGCGGCGTAGTTGACGATGCCCTGGAGGGCGGGGTTCATCTCCGCCGCCTTGGTCATGTTGAAGAGCGAGAGGAAGGGCTTGTAGGACATGGAGAGGTACGTGAATTTGAGGGCGTCTGAGTCGTCGGTGATGCTGGTGAAGGCGTCGAAGATGGAGGGGAGCATGGTTCGTGCGGCGACTGTGAGGAGAAGAAATTAAAGTTGAAGGCAGTGAGGGAGATGAGAGAGAAGAGGACGTACTGTTTCCTATGCCATCCAGGGATGAGTCGCTGAATACACCGTATTCGTGCCAGTTGGCGAGGTCGCGGGCTTGTTGGAGGAAGGTGTCCGGGAGGTTGTCCATGAAAGACGCGGAGTGGATGTTTTCGACGTTCATATAATCATAAATCTAGCGAGCCCATACTGTAAGTGCAGCCGAACGAAGAAAGATCATGAAAAGTACTGACATTCCACTGAAAAAGAGCACTTCGGTAAAGCTTTACTAGAGACAACTTCTACACTCCACATACCATGTTGGAGAGCGTAACAGGTCGTCCATCGAGATATGGTTTCAAGTCGTTCAGAAATTCGGCGCTCTCCGCTTGCTTGGCAGCAAACACGCTCGAATTGTAGAACGCGTTCGTATGGTCATCGAAGGTCTGTCATAATTATCAGTCCGCGTTTAGCATAGTGAATCCCCACTAACACCGCAAGAGGTCCAGCCCTCGAGGGAGACATCGTTATCCGCCTCCACTGATTCGACTAGACATTCAATTAATTAATCAAGACGAGATGGGAGGTGATAGAACGGACTGGGGATGTACTGGAGGGCAATTCAATACGAGGAGGACTCAGAGCACTACTCGTACCTGATAACCACTCAAAGGGCCTTCAATCGTCGTCCCGTTCGCGAGCGTCGTCGAGTAGTTGGACGTGGCCGGGAACAAACCCTGCGTCAAGCTCACAGCCGAGTTGAAAATCACGCCTCCCTCGCCGCCGCCATCTGCGCGAACTGATGCCGTGTAAGATAGGCATTCTAAGTACTTAGTAGATAACAACGTACTCTTGATCTGATTCTGATTGGCGAGAGTCGCGTTCATGCCTGAGATGACGGACTCGGAGGACGAGTTGAGATAGATGCTCCGCAGGAGCTGGCCGAGTTGGTACTCTTGTTGCTGCACGGCCCCATGAGTATACTATACGGTCGACAGAAGAAATCGCGCACGTTTCCCAAGGGCGTAATAGCCGTGGACGTCGCCGTATACGTCGTCGGGCTCTGGTAGAAACCTAGTGCATAACACACGCGTCATTGAAGTCTTCATATTAGTGAACAGAAGTACCTTGACGGTCACCATGGCGGGTCAAGAGAACGACACCGAGGACTGTGCTGTTCGACATCTGACTCGGACGTAAGGGAAGGAAGCCAAAGTGTTCGGACGAGCATGAGGTGGGTTTTTATAGTCCATTTGGATCTAAGGGACAGATGCAAGCGCGTGTGATCCAAAAGTCATCCGAAAGGGATCCGAAGGTGGTCAGGCACCTGCCACTTGCCGTTAGTGAGAAATATCTATTCCTGACTGAAAATTCCATATGTAGTGCTGGTCAGTGGATGGCGTGGAGATAGTGTAGGCATAAACTACAAACAGAAGTCTAAGTAAGAGGAAGACAGCGCAATATCGCATTAGACGTTGCTGTTCAAAGGTGAAAGGGCATCACAGCGCTTCACACAGTCTAGGAAGACTTTATCAAAGAACTCTTCGACCTGAAAATCGATGAGCACCTGCTCCCGGGTCTTGTTGGATAAACCTATTTTACCTGCAAGGACTGAGTCACAATACAGTTCCTTCCAGTCGATCCCCACGAGTCATCGCACTGCAAGTAATTCCAAACATCCACGACCGTCTCGCCAGTCGAATGTGTTCCTGTCAATTCCACGTCCACGCGATACCTGGTAGACGCGAAAAGGTCTGGTCGAGAGACATAGGCCACAGTTAACGCGTCGTGGATGGGAGGACCGTCCGCGAAGCCAAAGGTCGACTTGTATGCCTCGGCAAAGAATCGGATCAAGGTCATGAGCGTATGTCGCAGTGGTGTTGTTCCGTCTGGTAAAGGTGCTTGAAGAGAACCAACAGGACTGTCTGGAGAGAGGAGCCGCCACATGACGCTACGGTCAGCGATAGCTGTATGAGTTACGTTGATGGGTATCATGACAGCCGGAACGGGCGCGTCCAATACGATTTGAGCAGCATGTGCTATTGAGTGCGTTAGCAAGTTCACGATACATGAAGTGAATAAAGGACGTACGGTCACACATGATGTTGTATTCTACCCGTCAACTTAGTAGAAACGTGAATCCAAATAGACGGAATGCTTACCCGCCACCGCAGATCTATTCCCCAATCCAACTCCACCGCCCATGAACACGAATTCCTCGATAGCCTCAAGGAGTTCAGGATACACCGCGACGAAAAGCGCAATGTTCGTCATAGGCCCACACGATATCACAGTTACTTTTTCGCCCGCCCACTATTCCATACTCTCCGTATGGCAGTAGTCATCCCATCCAACGCACGCGCCGTTGAGCCATCCGGATTCTTGGCTATAAACTCTAGAACGGCCGGATCGTCAGTCGCAGGAAATCCCTCGACGCCGCCAAGACCGTCCGGGCCATGGATCTCTGGATCGTGCTTGGCTGGGCGCAGGAGAGGTTTGGATGCCCCAGGATAGACGCGAAGATTGGGGGAAGCACCAAAGGCTAGCAAGCACCTGGCTGCGTTGATCGCGGTATGGTCGGCAGAGGCGTTCCCGTGCACCTGGTCGGCCGTTTAGGTAGGGATGGAAAATGGGGGATTATACTTGGTCTCACTGTGGATATGCCCAGGAGGTCGATGTTGGGACAATGAATGGCGAGGAGGATGGCGGTTGCGTCGTCATGGCCCTGGTAATTGGCGTTGAGCGCAAGGCAACAAGGACGACAGTTCACGTACTTACAGGATCAACATCGAGCCAGACTTTTCTGCTCGTCATGAGCGTAAGATGATTGGATTAGATAAGTAGTCAAACCAAAACAAAAAGTTGCCCAATTTGAAGGAAGGGAGCTGATACGACTGGCCTGAATCGAACAGGCGTTCAAATACCAATATGAAGTATTGTTGTGCTTTGCCACTAAGCTACAGTCGTATTGCAATTTATCCTCGTATCAGACATCTAACTAATTCCTGTAGCACAAGCATTCGCTTATAGCAAGGTTTGCATCCCTAGAGAATCACCGACGTGTAACGCTTAGGTATTCATCCCGCGCGATGTGAGTATGTACGCGTACGCTGCCTCGAATCTATCAGCAGATCCGTGCATAGCGTAGCGGTCAACTGTCGCACCTGAGGAGAATTGTCAACAACCCGAACTTGGGTAACGCCACCCATAGTACGTTGGAACGAAAAGTGGAGATTACATAGAACGCCGCGACGAGGTGAATGTGACTCCTTTTCGCAAGAAGGCAAACCTTCGTCAATAGTACTAACTCACGACAGCGAACACGTTATACAACTTCAACAGAAGATATAGATGTTGCAGTCGAGATGTACTACTGCCAAGGGTATTGGTCGCGCAAATACAGAAGCATTCAATCGAGGGGCAGCGGTTCCGCTCTTGAGTGATGGAGTGAGAAAGAGATTCATCGCCCAACGATCGACTGCACGTGATACGCGTCATTGTTGTTTAATGACTTTGCTAGTGGCTGCCATGAAGGCTGGTACTCAGCTTGCTTCTCCATTGGTCCCGTTGTGCTCGTGGATATGTGCGACGACGAGCGGGACGATACCCCACCAAAGGACTTGCCTACTTCTCAATCGACGTCCTATGTCTACCCAATAAAGTCTCTCCTGACCGGCATCCAGCCCGCCTCCGACAACCACCGGCTCTCGTTGTCGTCGCTGGCGGGCACGAGCTCGCCATCGTCGCCGGAATTCACGAGATGGATCGCGGAAGAAGTCGAACGAGCTCGTATGTATCGCTTCCGCCTACCGCCCACGCGCTACTAACCTGCTATGCACACGACCTTCAGACGACACGAACATAGAATCTGTGAATACCGCTTGTGATCCAAACACGCCGTCCTACACGCCGCCCGTGTCACCCCTTTGCTCCCAACGCTCTCAAGGCGTCGCCGCGACCCCGTCCCCGACCTCGGCCCGTCCACACAAACCTAAGCGGCACTCAAAATCAAACAGGACATCTTTTCCGATAGCCGACAGCGTTCCTAACTTTCGCCATTTTCCTGCGGAAGACACGTCTCCGCGTTCCTTCTCGCGCAATCCTGCCAGATCTACGTCTGCCGAACCTCTATCTCCCACTCTTTCTGTGTCACTAGAAGAGGTTTCCCCCCATTTCAATCCGAGACGTCCGCCTCCCCTTCCCGTTGTATCTCAGCATGCATTCACGGCCACAAGCCCTTCATTACTACCCGAAACGGCTCCTCCAGAAATACCTCCAGAAATCCCCCCGCAATACCCTCTCCCCCAGATCCAGAACTTCTGTTCAATCCAGCTGAACTGGGTCTGGTACATTTAGCTCCTGTAGACACATATAAACTTGCTTCATCTGGCAGCGCTACCTCAAGTGGGCACTATTACACGCCCGAATCTTCTGTAATAGCTGCACCGTTTAGCTCACCCACCGACGGCGCGACAGCCGACGATGAAAAGGGCGATATGGATTTTCGAACCGCTCCGGGTTCCCCATCTAATTCGGGTTCGGAATCACTACCAGAGAGTCGGTCGGAGACTTCCGACGAACCTCTTCTTACCGTTCGCTTCCAAGCCGTGCAGGACGAGCATGGGCACCATGTTGTTGTTGGACGGGAAGGTCTGTTGACCAAATGTGAAGACGAGGTGAGCCTCTATTTCAATCAATTACCACGTCTACTGACGTACAGTAGCCTATTCGAACTCCTGGCGCCGTTCAAGGTTTCGGCGTCCTCGTTGCTGTCGACCAGTATGAAGACACGCTTGTGGTACGACAGGTGTCAGAGGTAAGTTTCATTTTCTCTTTTCCCGATCCTGATTTCTAAGCTTGTCGACAGAACTCGACCGAGATTTTGGGGTTATCGCCGCGATACCTTTTCTCTTTGGAATGCTTCACTGATACTCTTCCTGAAGATCAAGCTGCTCTTCTATGGGATAATATCGACTTCCTTGCTGAACCCGAGACAGAATTATCATCAGATAATGACCAAGACTTCAACCATCCTTTCCGACTGACTGGTTGGGGTGCGCCGCCGGATCCATCCCAACCTGATGCTACTCGTCGTGTTTGGACGTGCTGGTGTGCAATGCACCGGCCGCCTAAATTTTCCTCCGGGAGGAATTCTCGACTCTTCGTAATGGAGTTTGAGTTGGAGAGAGACAATCTTAATCCTCTGTATCCTCTTACCCCGTTACCTCATGTCGCAACCTCTGGCGCTCTCTCGCCGCTTAGCAATGTATCTGGCGATGGTGGAAATTCCACTGACTGGTCCGAGCGGACTCTCGTGTTTGGGGACGTATCTGCTACGAGCCCAGGCGAGGATATCACTTCGGGGCCCTCGACAGTACATCCCACTCCCTCCGCGGAGCCCAACAATGCAGCAGATCCATTGCAGGCCATAGCAGCTGCTAATACCAGTACCCCTTCCTCGTTAGCCGGTCTGGAAGGAGATGACAGCTGGACTCCAAGTACGGAAGACATCATCGAGAGCACCACTTCTCGTTCGAAACCTCTGTTGGCATTGGAGCGTTTGCGTCGAATCACGCGGGGTCAGACGCCTTCGACGCCTTCTTCAACCCGCATGGCATCTTCCAATGCGCCTGTGAAGGGCCGTCGTGGTGCAAGGAACTCTCACCCTCCTGCGGGTGGTGGAATGATGGATGTGTTTGCGGTTATGGCTCAGATTAACGAGCAGCTTGGTGGGGCGCCGGACTTGGACAGCTTTTTGAGAGTCGTGGTCGGCGTCATCAAGGATCTGACCCAGTTTCATCGAGTACTAGTCTACCAGTTCGACGAGATTTGGAACGGCCAGGTGGTTGCAGAGTTGGTGGATTGGAATATGACGCATGATTTATATAAAGGGCTACACTTTCCTGCTGGTGATATCCCAGCCCAGGCAAGTATGACCTGTGTGAAGTATTCTCTCCACTGATGCAGGTTTTTAGGCCCGCCAGCTATACACGATCAGTGAGTTGATTCGCTACTCTCGATGTCCACGCTCTGACCTAGGCTTGCAGACAAAGTCCGGATATTATATGACCGTGATCAACCAACGGCCAGAATTGTCGTTCGGTCGAAGGAGGATCTTGAAGAGCCGCTGGACATGACACATTGCTATCTACGAGCCATGAGTCCAATTCACGTTAAATGTACGTCGCTTCGAACTATTCAGCTATCCCGTGTCGAGCGTTCATTGTTTGATTTAGACCTTGGTAATATGGGAGTTCGTGCATCGATGTCTGTTGTATGTGCCAGTGTTCTTTCTGTTGGGCGCGCCATCTGATGAAGTTGCAGTCTATCATGGCGTTCGGAACTCTTTGGGGCTTAGTGGCATGTCATTCCTATGGGGACCATGGGATGCGAGTATCTTTTCCCGTTCGTGCGATGCTTAAACTCCTGTCCCAGTCAATATCACGGAATATTGAGCGACTGAGCTACGCACAGCGGCTGAAGACCCGGAAATTGGTAGGACATTTATTCTGGAATACTGTCTTCGTACTGACCGGCCTTGTGTCCCAGATTAACACGATAGCGTCAGATAATCACCCCGTCAGTTTTTGCGACGCATTTCATCAGCATGTATTGATCAAGAACGTAGACCGGATACATTGTCTCCAACGCCGATGATTTACTTGGGCTCTTCGACGCTGATTTCGGTATTCTGGTTATTGGAGATGGCGCGAAGATCCTTGGTCCTAATCAACACGGGCAAGAAATCTTGATCATGGCTGAATATCTTCGCCTGAAGCAATTCAAGTGCGTCTCTTTTGATTCTCCGTCGTTCTCTGGACTAATCCTTTCTCTTGCAGTACGATTCAGGCTTCGCAAGCGGTGACGATTGACTATCAGGACCTGAACATTTCAACAGGTAAGTTCTAGTACACTCAGGAAAACGTCACTAATGGGGTGCAGGTTTGGAGGTCGTCGCAGGCTTGCTGTACGTTCCGTTATCGAGTGAAGGCAGAGATTTCATCGCATTCCTCCGTAAGGGCCAACCACGAGACATTCACTGGGCTGGAAAGCCATTCAAGAAAGACGCGACAAATACTGTCTTGGAACCCAGGAAGTCTTTCAAGATTTGGTCTGAAACGGTGGCGGGGCGTTGTCGTGCATGGACAGACGAGCAGCTCGAAACGGCCGGCGTACTGGCCCTGGTGTATGGCAAATTCATCGAAGTGTGGCGACAGAAGGAGAGCGCTTTGCAGGCTACGAAGCTGACGAGTTTACTGCTGTCCAATGCCAGTCACGAAGGTAAGTTTGATTGTCGTTGTACTTCAAACATTCATGGAATCTTCTAGTACGGACACCTCTGAATCATATCATCAAGTGTGTCTGTTGTCTTCATCGCTATCCACCCTCTCATAATATCTCCAGTTACCTCGAAATGGCGTTGAACGGGCCTCTTGACACTGAAACTCGAGACAATCTCAATCGATCGCATACTGCATCGAAGGTATTGACGCTATTCGTTATCATAGCTCGCCGGAGCGCTGACTCGGTCCTTAGAGTTTACTCTTTACGATTAATGATCTACTGGTAGGCATTACTCTCCCATGATCCTACTACATCTCACACGATACCAGGATCTGACGCGACTGGAGAGCGGGCAAGAAACGTCCTTCAACGAACCATTCAATCTCCCCTACGCTATCCAAGAGGCCGTAAACTCCTACAGACACGAAGCGGAGCGGCGGTCCCTAGAATTCATCCTCGATGTATCCTCAAGCCCCACGCAGGTTGTCGGTGATGCCAAAAAAATTCAGACTGTAGTCCAAAATCTGACTGCAAACGCTTGTATGTACTCGTCGTTATCCTCTCACTGGCCTATTTAAACAAAAATTCAGTGAAGTACACGACCAATGGCTCTATCAAAATCCGCTGTACACCTCTAGAGGAACCTGATGGCCTACGAAATTCAAGACAAACGGCTGTAGAGA